GAGAGAGAGAGAGAGAGAGAGAGAGAGGGAGGGAGAGAGAGAGATGAGCGATACAAGTTTGGTTGTCACGTACCTTTGAAGTGTGCCGTGCAGTCCCACGAGGAAGAAGGAGGCGGCCATAGCTGTGGAGCTTGATCACAGAGTAACGAAGAAGGGTGAAAAGAGAGGACAGAGGGGGAGACCGAGCAGTGTGAAGGAAGCCATAGCCGAGGAGGTGAAGGGAGAGGCCCGGAGAGACGAATACAAAAAAAAAAAAAAAAAAAAGGAGAGAAAGAAAACAGTCGGGGTGAAGAGAAAGGAGGTGAGGAAGGAGGAGGGTGGTGAGGAAAGAGAAGCCGGCAGCCATAGCTGACCGGGCGTTGACCGGGAGAGTTGACCGGAGTTGACCTGGCGTTGACCAGAGTTAATCGGGCATTGACCGGAGTTGACCGGGAGTTGACCGGGCATTGACCGAAGTTGACCGGAGTTGACCGGGAGTTGACCAGGGGTTGACTGCAGCGTTGACCAAGCGTTGACTAAGGCGTTGACCAGCGCTGTTGACCATGATTTTGACCAAGCAGGAGCCGATATAATCTCACCAAGCCTTCAGCCTATCCCCTCGCCCTATGGATGTGCACACACCCTGTGGTACTTGCTGAGTCAAGTCTGTCTGTYTCTTCTTTCTGCATTGAGTCTCTTMTGTCCAGGTGATAGGAACTCTGTGGATGAAGGATAGGGCCTTGTTGACCAAACCCACACGGGCTGAGTAGGGGTAAAGACTGTGTCTGACGACTCGACTGTCCCGGAGGACACGAACCCTCCCAAGGACCGGTACTGACCGGGGGGTTGCTCGGTGTGGCACAGTAGGCCCAAAATCCGAGTTGTGGGCTGCACAACAAGCCATCTAAGTCTTGAGAAGACCTGCTGATCGCGTCGTCCTGTTTGCGACGTTAAATAATTCCTGAGGAGGTATGGGGGATCTCCTTAAATGCCTCCTGATCAGCAACAGGTCTTGTAGTGACAGCCTTAGAGTAGGTCTAGGCTAGAGACCCTAGTTGACAGGATCCTGACCGGATTCTGTAAGTCCTTAGATCGAGTCAGTAGCTTTGTCAATCAGGGGGAGTAGAGTCTAATTGGTGAGGAGTGGAACCGTTCTCTGGTTGTGCACCTATCACCATGGTTGACACCCGTAGTGGGAAGAGTACTGTCCCCCAATTCAAGGTCGAGCAGGCCCGGATCGCCGTCATCCTGAGGGAGAGAAAAGAAAAGAAAGAGCTCCTCAAGCAGGCGAAGCTAAAGGCTATAGCAGAGGAGCAGGCAGCGAAGAAGAAGAAGTTAGAAGATTCTGAAGAGATGTTGAGATTCCAGAAGGAGAAAATGATGATGTTGCAGCGAGAGGAGGAAAAGAAGAGAAAGGTTGCCGAAGAAGAAGCAGCAGCAGAGGAGGAGGAAGAAGAAGAAGAAGAGCCCCTTGAAAGAAGGCGTGGAGGAGACAGGGGAGAAACAAGTGGCACGAAGGAGGAGGACAAATGGATGGAGAAGAAGATCAGCGAGTGGGTGGCTAACTTATCGTTGGGAGAGGATGAGGATGCACTATTGTACGTGCCGCAGGAGGAGAGAGAAGCATTTGCCAGGGTATTAGAAATGATAGAGGATCCCCTGGAACGTCAGACAACAGAGGATGAGAAGAAGTTGGAGTGGAAGTTACGAATGATGAGGGAGAAGAAGAGAAGGAGGGAGGAAGCCAACCGAATGGCTAGAGAGGTGGAACGAGTCCAGGCATGCAGACAGGAGATGCAGGCACAAGCAGAGGTCCCCGCGAAATTAGATAAGGTTATACGGTACCTGAAGGTCCTGATTGAGGCCTGGCCAACAAGGGTCACGATGTGACCCTGCATGCCATCCGGTCCGGTTTTAGGGAGTTCGCGCAAGACGTGGTAACCCACGTTGGGACCGAAGTTAGAAAACTGAAGGAAGGCGCAGAGAAGTTTTGTGTTGGCGCCAAAGTCGTGGCCACAACAAAGGCCGCAACACGTCCCCGCAAAGAGTCAGTAAAGCTCAAGTTCCCTGACGCTTATAGCGGGAAGAAGGACGATAGCTTTAATAACTGGGATGCCAGTATCAATACCTACGTATATTTGCAGCATATCGGCCCCCGAGGAGCAGGTCCTCGTCGCCTTCCATGCGTTAAAGGACGAAGCGGCCAGCTTCGCCAGGTCCCTTGCGCGCGGCGCCGATTGCGAGCATAACATGATTGCTTATTCTAGGCTTACCCCTCTCTCCACGTTTCTCAAACTCCTGCGTGAGAGGTTCGCTGACGTCACGAGGGGTGTCAGGGCCTCTGACAAACTTCAAAACATCCACTCGCGACAGCGGAGGAGTGCGCGAGCACTCAAAGCTGTTATGGACGACTTGGTAGCCGTCCCAGACCACGGGGTCACTGAGACCCAGTTGGTCCAGTTGTTCTGTCGTGCCATGCCAGAGCCCTTGCGAGGGCATTTCTTCGACAAGACCCAACAGGCGAACATCATGTATGATGCATTGAGTAGGGAAGTGGCCTTGTTCGAGGCAAAGTCTATGCCAGTTTCCACTTTCTGGCACAGGGACTTAGACAAGGGCAAAAAGTGGAAGGGTCGTACCATCTCTAGCCAAGTCAGGGCCAAGGATCATCTGATCATCACTTTGGATGAAGGTGGTACTGATGAGGTCCCCTACAGTCAAATTGAGTGGGGACTTGAGGAGGAGAACAACAGCGTAGGTGAGGGGAGGTCCTATGGAGCTGTCGCGGCTGGAGGGAGGCCGCAAAATAGAGGAGGAGGCCAGGGCCAAAGGGGCCAGGCCATGGGAGACCGAGGATCGGGCGCACAGGGGGTTAGCGGTCAAGGGAACCGTTAAGTGGGAGGTAGGGGTCATAGTCCCCCGCCAAATTGTCAAGGTCCCAGTCGGTCCCCACAGCGACGAGGTGGTAGGTCACCTCAAAGGTCAGGAGGTTGGCACCCAGGTTGGCCACAAGGCCGGCCTTGGAAGGATCTGGGCCTCGACCAGAAAGTGTGGCAACAGCGCATGGAGCAAGGGCAGTGCATTTACTGTGATGACCCTGCCCATATTATCAAGGGGGGAAAGGGGGGTATAAATTATTTTTAAAGGGGCTAAGAGGGGTTAAAGGGGGGTCCTTCAGTGTGATTTTTTAGGTTACCAATGGTCCGGAGACCGGACGTCTCCCCCGGACGTCAGGTACCCCCGTCATCCGGATTTCCGGACGACGGTTTTTTGGCACTAAAAAAAAAGAAAAAAGAAAAAAATCGCAGTGTTGCGCATGCCCTAGAGACCCCCCAAAAAAAATTTCAGATTTTTCTGAGCATTTGGTGATAGGGTGGAATTTGGGGTGCGGTGGGGTGGGGTGGGGTGGGGTGGGGGGGAACGATGGGTTTTGGTGGGGATAGGAGGGGTATAGGTGGGGATTAGAATCTTTGAAGATTTTTATTATTTATTCGACTGGCCTAAATGATCCAAAAATTTGGTGGCATACACCTAATGGAAGGTGGAAGTCACATTATTTTTTTTTTTTTTTTTTTTTTTTTTTTTTTTTTTTTTTTTTTTGCGCTAGGTCGGCATACCCTGTCCGGTCCGACGTCTGACCAGACGTCCGGTCGGACATCCTGGACGGTCAGGGGGGTCCCGGACGTCCGATCCAACAACCTATATGATTTTGTTATTTCCTTTTCTATCTCCGATTCAGTGAGGAATTCTCATGTAACCCTCGACCAAAAGTTGTTTGTATTTCAATTTTACACAACATTGTTGTTTATGGAAATTTTTTGACTTTCGTTTTTTTTGTTTTTTTTTTTTTTGCGTTGGGGCTTCCCGGAACCCTACTCAGGGTTCATGCCCGGCCGGGCACCCGGGCGTGCATCCAGGCACAAGTTGGGTGTTGGGGCATGTATCGAGGCACAAGTTGGGTGCCCGGGCGCCCGGAAAAACAACCTAGACTATAAGTCATTTTTGAGTTAACAATTGTTAACAATAAAACACCTTTTTAAAAAATAACCGAACTTTGCGAATAGGATTAACCGAACTCTGCGAAAACTAGTTTATAGAACTATAAATCAATTTTGGAGTTAACAATAAAACACCTTTTTAAGAAATATATGTTATTTAAAATGATAATACAATCAACTTTTGTCTTAGACACATTGTCGAATTTTTAGTCAGACACGAGTTTAAATTTAAAAAAATATAGAAAAATCGTAAAACAACAACAAGAAAATTCCCACAGCAAATGGAAGTTGAGAAAACGTTCCATTAAAAAAAAATCCTTTATATTTAAAACTTATCATTTCAATGTTCATCAAATTCTAAAATTTTCAATTTTATTTAATAAATCCCTACCTAAAAACAAGTTTTCCCTTTTATTTGTTTAAGATGGAATGAAAGTCTAAGCGAGTTTATGAAATATCTTAATTAAACTTTATTTTACTGCAACAAATACCTTTTAATCTAGGTTATCTGATCGGACGTCCGGGACCCCCCTGACGGTTTAGGGTTGTCCGCTCGGACAACCGGTCGGACATCCTCCCCGGGCAGTTGGTCCAATCCTGAAAAAAAAAAAAAAAAAAAATCTTTAAGAAATCAAAAAATAAATTATGTTATGCAGAAAAATAAACTGAACAATTTTTGCCTTGGGATGATATTGAAATTCGTTGTCAAATTTAAATAAAAAATAAAATAAAATAAACCCAATTTATTTTTTCTGTTTTTCGTGTTTGTAATTGCTTAAAATAGAGTTGTCCGGGCCCGGATGTCAGGGACCCCCCTAACTGTCCGCCCAGGACGTCCTGCCATCGGGCAACTGGTAACATAGCTTTAAATTTAGATTGGATTAATTTATTTATGAATGAAAATACTTGTATAGAATGACATTCTAATTATAATATGTCATGAACTCATCAAGAGTTTCATTCCATCTCTAGCATCCAGTTTAAATAAGCAGGGATACCCCATCCTTGGAAGGAAAGTTTTCAAGTAAGATGAAATTTTTTAAAAGTGGAATGACATTTTTTAATATGGAATGAAATTTTAAAATTTAAAATTTAATTTTATTATAGAATGGTTATTCAATTTTGAGAAATTTTTATGTTGAAACCTAGGCTACCAGAGTGGCCCGGGGTCACTTGCCTGACCGGGCCAAAAAAATAAAAATAAAAAAATTATTTTTATATTTTATTTTTTATTTGAAATTTGGTGAAGAATTTTGATGTGACCCTAAGGCAAAAGTTGTTCAGTTTATTTTTCTGCATAACATAGTTTGTTTTGGATTTTTTTTTTTTTTTTTTTTTTTTTTTTTTTTTTTGCTGGGACCTTCCTTGGTCCTTGCACGGGCTGGCCACCCGCGACCCGGGCGGCCCGGCTGGTAGCCTAGGTTGAAACAATAAAAATTAATATGTTCGTCCATGTATGGGAGAACATATTCAAACGAACGTATTCATGAACATGAGAACATGTTTGCGCGTTCATCGTGCTACACATGTTATTGGACTGTAAACATGATTTTTTTAGATAACAAAAAATCGAGATATTTCAGTTTTTGAACATACAGTGCTTCATCAAGTTATGGTTTTATGTGAAAAAACCCGTTTTTATCTTTGCAACTTCCAATAGTTTTGAAAAAATAATTTTATATTTAAGTTTTATTGCGGTTGTTTTACTTCATATAAAATTTTGTTTTTAGAGGATACCTGAAAAATGTACTATCATAATCTTGAATATATTTCGTGCATTTACAAATTGAAGGAACCACTTACTGTCCCAACATTTTATATGCTACATGGAGAAGTGTCTGGAATCATTCAATGAATATCACATTTTTACCCTTTCAGTCTCCTCCACATTTATATCATAGTTCATGCATCCTCTTAAGTTGATGGTGAGTCTAGTGCGATCCGACGTCTAATGCGTTGGATATCGTCCAATGACATATTAAATTTGAAAAGTGGCAACTAACCATTTGTTGAAAGAAGCGTTTAAGCTAGCACAAACACTCAGGATTGATGAATGTTCTTCTGTTTCGGGATGCCGACCGCTTGTAATAGCTTCTTGAATACCTAGTGTTGACTTGCGCTCCTTGTTGTGTTGATCGATCGAACGAGTACTTCGCAAAGTTATCGACTAACTTTTTTGCAACCTCTAAGTTTGGTTCTATCGAATCGTAATACTCTATAATTTTTTATCTAACGTCTATTGCAACAAGTGTGCAATGCATTTCATGTGTGTTATGATATGGGGATGAAATCAAGTATGTAATTGCGATCAATATGTCTAAAAACCATTTAGTTACTTGAGCATAGTGATATCCGAAGTTGTCATCCATAAGTTTGACCATAAAAAAAAAGTTATATATTATAACTGTTCTAGAAATTGAACCCTTTGCGTACTTCACGAACATGTTAGAAGGTGTATCACACACTCCCGATGGGTATTCTTACACATGTTATCAACCTTTATCATATTGGTGTAGAAGTTTATAATGCCATCGTTTAACCATCATTTGTCACTCATTAGGATTCTCATATCGTGGACTGTGAATCTTAACTCCTCGTCCGTCGCTTGATTCTTAAAGCTTGATAATGTTTTGTAATGGTTGAATTTTTTTCCCAATGACGCAATACATATTCTTCGGACTTTGTGATTTTGTTCGTTGCTAATTGAAAAGTTCACTCATATTCATATCGGCGTTCACCTTAGACGTGTAACAATCTACCTCGTTCACACCACAATGATATTGTTTGTTGTTAACATGTGAATGCATTGCCATATCACTTATGTGTGAATAATATTACGTGTTTTATGTGGACGTTGAACACGGTGCATTTACCATACATACAAGTTTTGTTGTACGAATGAACTCTACCATTATATTGTACAATATAGGTATTGTATATAGGAGTGTGTATGTGTGTTTGTATTTGTTTGTGTGCGTATATGTGTGTGTGTGTATGGCAGAGTGGCAGTGTGTGTGTGTGTGTGTCATATATATATAT